AATATGATATTTCTAGTTCTACACTTATAGAGCACTACGCAAATGTTGTGAGTACACACTGGTTTTGCAAGTAACATCTGCTATATTAATCGTCAGTCGAGAGCCTTATTATCTGTGTCTATTTTTAGGAACATGTGTGTTTTGTAATGGAGTATGCGTGTGGTGGAGATCTGATGATGCACATACATAATGACGTGTTTTCAGAACAGAGGACAGTGTTTTATGCAGGATGTGTAGTTTTAGGTTTACAATATTTACATGAACATAATATTGTTTATAGGTAAGTTATTTGTTTATTTCTTTAGATTTATTTAGTTCAGTGTTATGCCACTCTTGTTAGGATACAATATAAGTATCATGATACGAGGGCCACAATATAAGTATCATGATACGAGGGCCACAATATAAGTATCATGATACAAGGGCTACAATATAAGTATCATGATATGGTGGCTACAATATAAGTATCGTGATACGAGGGCCACAATATAAGTATCACGATACAGGGGCTACAATATAAGTATTGTGATACGGGGGCTACAATATTAGTATCATGATACAAGGGCCACAATATAAGTATCGTGATACCAGGGCCACAATATAAGTATCATGCTATGGTGGCTACAATATAAGTATCGTGATACGAGGGCCACAATATAAGTATCACGATACAGGGGCTACAATATAAGTATTGTGATACGAGGGCTACAATATTAGTATCATGATACAAGGGCCACAATATAAGTATCATGATACAAGGGCCGCAATATAAGTATCGTGATACCAGGGCCACAATATAAGTATCATGCTATGGTGGCTACAATATAAGTATCGTGATACGAGGGCCACAATATAAGTATCACGATACAGGGGCTACAATATAAGTATTGTGATACGAGGGCTACAATATTAGTATCATGATACAAGGGCCACAATATAAGTACCATGATACAAGGGCCGCAATATAAGTATCGTGATACCAGGGCCACAATATAAGTATCGTGATACCAGGGCTACAATATAAGTATTGTGATACGGGGGCTACAATATTAGTATCATGATACAAGGGCTACAATATAAGTATCGTGATACAAGGGCCACAATATAAGTATCACAATACGGGGGCTACAATATAAGTATCATGATACGAGGGCCATGATATGGTGGCTACAATATAAGTATCACGATACAGGGGCTACAATATAAGTATTGTGATACAGGGGCTACAATATTAGTATCATGATACAAGGGCCATGATATGGTGGCTACAATATAAGTATCATTATTTATACACTACTCAATTAAATGGCCAAGTTTTTTACACTCCAAAACTTTCATTTCATTTCAGAGATTTAAAATTAGATAACTTATTACTGGATGTTGAAGGCTATTTAAAAATAGCTGATTTTGGTTTATGTAAGGAGAGTATGGGATACGGAGATCGTACCAGTACATTTTGTGGCACGCCTGAATTCTTAGCTCCTGAAGTTTTGACGGAAACATCCTACACTAGATCTGTAGATTGGTGGGGACTTGGTGTTCTTATCTACGAAATGTTAGTCGGAGAGGTAAGTCATGATTTAATGGACTCTCACGACTGATTAGATTTCCAGAGCCCTCTCAGTTGTATTCAAGCCCCTGGGATTCTGCATATACAATGGGGAGTGGTTAACTAATTGGACAAGAGATTTTAGAGAACAGAATCATAGGATGACGTCACTAGAGGTTTATTAGTTGTATTATTAAAAGTTGTCCTGTATTTTGTAGAGTCCCTTCCCAGGAGATGATGAAGAAGAAGTTTTTGATTCTATTGTAAATGATGAAGTTCGATACCCACGATTCTTATCTACGGAGGCCATCGCCATCATGAGAAGGGTAGGTAACTCTAGAGTTTCATTGATTTTATATGAACTAGTTTAGCAAGATGACTGCTTTTTGTTGATTTACTAAAACAATACGTATTGTTGTTATAGTTTTGTCTATTGAACAAGTTGTTTTGTTATAGCGTTTCAAATTGTGGCATGTAATTTGAACAGGGGACTCATACATTAACCCTTCACTCAAATTCAGGGCTGGGGATACTTGTCCAAAACATCGATTGTGAAGTCTGTTCCTTCATTTAATATTTTATGAAATATGTTTCTAGTTATTAAGGCGTAATCCTGAACGAAGATTAGGATCAAGTGAAAGAGATGCTGAAGATGTTAAAAAACAGGCCTTCTTCAGGGTAAGTTTCCTTACTTCTTTGTCCCCTTCTGTGGGTAGTGTGGCTACGTCTGAGGGTTCAATCCCAGCATAGATCGAGATTATATCTTAAAAAGGTTCAACCCCTCGTGAGTGATGCTGTTTGGAGGTCCCAACACATGTCTTGGGGAAAAAAAGCTGAGGTCCCTTGTACTACAGGCTGTGCTCGTTAAAGATCTCTCAACAGATGGAAATCAAAAAAGAGTAGGTTCATTGCACACTGCCAAATTTGATAGATTTTTCCTTTTTTGTAGAATTTAAAATGGGATGATTTGTTGATGAAGAAAGTAAAACCACCGTTTGTTCCCACTGTGGTAAGTAATGAAGGTTTTTTTCTATGCCAAATTTGGTTCAGCTGGAAAAACGTTGAGATCTTATATATGAACTTCACCAATGTCAGCAAAGAATCTTGTTGATCCAAAGATTTGGAGACAATATTTCGTCAAGATGAAGAAATTGATGCCAGAACTATCGCTTGAAATCTAAAATAATTTTAATTTAGGATAAAATAACTTAACTTTTGTTTCTCTGTCTCGTTCACAAATTAACAATTTATATTTTTAGAAAAATCCAGAAGATGTGAGTAATTTTGATGAGGAGTTTACAGCTGAACGACCTGTTTTAACGCCACCAAAAGAACGTCGAGCCTTGAACGCCGGAGATCAAACCATGTTCAATGACTTTAGTTACATCGCAGATTGGTGCTGATAGTTTCTGCAGAGTTTTCAGGATTTGTGTGATCAGAACGGTGCTGGAAATTGTGTCTGGAAGTCAAACATCTTTAGCAAGAACACATTATTAGGAAGTGTTTGGAGGTCTTTGAGATGTGTTATTTCCCCCACAATTTGTCTAATGTGTTTGATACTTGAACTTCAAGAGGATCTAATATTATTTTATCCTATGTGTTTGATTCTTAGATACCATATGGATTTCCGGGATGTGTATCGTAGTGTTCGAGCACTATCAGAACACTTTAGTGCTGTTGGAGATGATGCATGAATTATGATGAAAATTGATCAACATCTGTGCCGTTAAATGTCATTACTAATACATCAGAGTTTGATGTAAAAGACTTTGTATTGAGTGAGTGCAAGAATTTACAGAACCTCTCTCTGCGATGATGGACACAAAACAGCAGGCTTGGTAACTTGAAATGCGTTCTCGTGGAAAAACTTATGTGTGACAGACACTCAAAAACACGCTTTGTGATTGAACCTACAGAAGAAAGTGCTATAAAGAAATATTCGTTATCAATTAGAGGCCTAAAAGTGGTGAAAATAAATCACTGAAATTTTGCGATGGAGTGCTTGTATATATCGAAACTTCCAAATAAAGCAATTGAGTGGAAATATTCATGTCATGTGATAGCTGCCATTTTGTGTATCATGTGATGTCAAACTAGTATTCTGATTGGATGAATCTGAAAATTTGAATTGTTGTGGATTATGTTGAGATTATTTTCAAGTAGAAAAAATACTGGATTGATAAACACTCAAAATTGCGTCAAATTTGAACTTTGTGCACTATACATCGGTAGATTTCAGCAAAGTGTGTCGTTTTGACAATAAAATTAGGTCATGGATCCCATTCATATTGTGTTCATTTATGATGTATTTCGGCGCCGTATTATACATTTGACTCCCTAGAAATGGCATTGTTTAAATCAAAATTCTTGTTACGATGGATGTATGAATTTAAGTGATGAATACCACAAATTGCCAAAAATAATTGAATTAGTAAATTCTCTTTAAAACTTTTTATGCAAAGATAGTAGTAAAAACATTCCATAGAATGAAGTGCTGTTAACTCTTGGCTAAACCAGCCAAATATGTAGTACTGTGAGCATTGAACTGCACTGCATTAAGGTATTTTGGCAGATTTGGTTGGTGATGCCTTTGGCTCAACTAATCAAGCCAAATTTACATTGGTGTATGCATTGAACTGCACTGCATTAAGGTATTTTGGCAGATTGGGTTGGAAAAGTCTTTCACTCAACTAAACCAACCAAAGAAACATTAATGTATGGGTTGAACTGCACTGTATTAAGGTATTTTGGCAGATATGGTTGGTGATGCTTTGTTGCTCAACTAATCCATCCAAATGTACATTAGTGTATGCATTGAAGAGCACAGCATTGAGATATTTTGGCAGATTTAGTTGCTTGTAAATGGATATTATGAGAAGAAATAGTGCTACTTTAGTATTTTGTAACTTTTAAACTGTGAACTTAGTTTTCATTTGCTCATTCGTATGTGTGATAGCTCAATTATATATAGATGACATCTTTCCTTTATCATAGAATATGACGATTTGATTGGATTGTACACCAGCGATTACGGCCAATCATAGCCCTCGACAGACGGACTGTAAACATTATGGCTTATTGTTTACAGACTTTCTATAGATGACTCTGATTGGGTGTATTTGCTGGTGTGCAGTCAAACCAATTCTCTGTATTTATATTATAGGGACGGACCCTTTAATTCATTTGACACCCTTGGTAAAGTTACGATTATTTTTCTGATGTGCATCAAGAATAAAATAGCAGTCGTGCAAATCGAGAACATTTGGTCAGTGTTAATAGGTTTACAAAAGTACTTTTAAACAATTTCCAATAGTACGGTATATCTTATTATTTTGGTGCAGTGTTTACTTGGGAGGAAGAATAAATAATATTTGGAACTTTTCAAGTCAGACTAAGCTTATCGCATGCAGAACTATTTTGACAGCTAAAAATATTGTGTACTGCTAGTGTTAAGTTTTGAATTATACCCTGATGATATCTTAATTTGACTATACAATAGGCCGTACTAGTTACCTATGCACTATTAAAAGCAACTGAATGCAATTTGGTACATGTTGATTCAGGCCCTCAGTGGTAAGATATTCCTAAATCATTATTTTTTGTTACTAAGTTAGATTCTGATATTATGATATATTTCTGATGAAATGTAAAAAATTGTACATAAGAAAATCTGATTTGCTTCAATTTTAGTAGATTTTTGTACATATTGAAGACTGGATAATCTTGTATTATATTGTATAGGCTTGTTCTACCAGTCGTTTTGTTCAGCTTTATTTCTGCATTCCATGTTATTGATTGTTTTTTTCATTTATCATCACGGAGTTTGTAGCGTGGATATAGCGTTATTATTTTTGATATTTTTGCCAGTGTATGAAATATAGAGTATATTATATGTAGAACTTTGTTACACAATGTTGCATATTATCAGAAAATTGTTTAGTATTTCATGGATAAAGAAATGGCTTGTATTTGACAGAATACCATGGCTTCTGGGACGTTTACAGAGATTAAAACTACTAAGTTTTTCATTCTGTTTATGTGAACAGATGGCCATATTTTCCTGTTAAATTCATTTAAGATGAAACGTCTTGTCTGCGTTTAATTGCTTGCTTTTATAACACATTTTTAATCAAGCATTTGGTATTGTCTTTGATAACCTAATGATAAAGCACGACTCCCTCAGTAGAAATTCACAGAACACTTATATATTGCTTAGTATTTTTACTATTGAGTATGTCATATCAATAGGTTCTAGAAAAATGTTTTATTAAAGCAGACAATTGAATGTAGGACTGTTCCGTTTTAGATATAGCTTAATATTTTCCCATCAAATACTTCATAAATTTCGTTGATTGAAATAATGTACTCGTTGTGGATAATGAAAACTTAATAAAAATGGCTCCTTTATGGCCAGGTTATCATAAGAAGTAACCGTGTGTTTCTATTCAGTAACTTTAATGTGGTACCATTAAATATCACATTAAAGTTACGTGATATCAAATTAAAGCTACCATGAAATATCACGTGATATCACATAAAACCTACCATTAAATATAACGTGATATTACATTAAAGTTACCATTAAATATCACCTGATATCACATTAAACCTACCATTAAATATCATGTGACATCACATTGAAGGTACCATTAAATATCACGTGATATCACATAAAAGTTACCATTAAATATCACATTAAAGTGACCATTAAATATCACGTGATATCCCATTAAAGCTACCATTAAATATCACGTGATGTCACATTAAACCTACCATTAAATATCACGTGATATCACATTAAAGGTACCATTAAATATCACGTGATATCACATTAAAGCTACCATTAAATATCACAATAAATATCACGTGATATCACATTAAAGCTACCATTAAATATCACGTGATATCACATTAAAGCTACCATTAAATATCACATTAAATATCACGTGATATCACATTAAAGCTACCATTAAATATCACGTGATATCACATTCAAGCTACCATTAAATATCACGTGATATGACATTAAACCTACCATTAAATATCACATTAAAGTTACCATTAAATATCGCATTAAAGTTACCATTAAATATCGCATTAAAGTTACCATTAAATATCACGTGATATGACATTAAACCTACCATTAAATATCACATTAAAGTCACCATTAAATATCGCATTAAAGCTACCATTAAATATCACGTGGTATCACATTAAAGCTACCATTAAATATCACGTGATGTGACATTAAAGTTACCATTAGATATCACATTAAAGTTACCATGAAATATCACATGATATCACATAAAACCTACCATTAAATATAACGTGATATTACATTAAAGTTACCATTAAATATCACATTAAAGTGACCCTTAAATATCACATGATATCCCATTAAATATCACATTAAATATCACGTGATATCACATTAAAGCTACTATTAAATATCACATTAAATATCACGTGATATCACGTAGAACCTACCATTAAATATCACGTGATATCACATTAAAGGTACCATGAAATATCACGTGATATCACATTAAAGGTACCATTAAATATCACATGATATCACATTAAAGCTGACATTAAACATCATGTGATATCACATTAAAGTTACCACTAAATATCACATTAAAGTTACCATTAAATATCGCATTAAAGTTACCATTAAATATCACATATCACATTAAAGCTACCATTAAATATCACGTGGTATCACATTACCATTAAACATTAAAGTTACCATTAGATATCACATTAAAGTTACCAGGAAATATCACATGATATCACATTAAACCTACCATGAAATATCACGTGATATCACATTGAAGGTACCATTAGATATCACGTGATATCACATTAAAGCTACCATTAAATATCACGTGATATCACATAAAACCTACAATTAAATATCACGTGATATCAAATTAAAGGTACCATTAAATATCACGTGATATCACATTAAAGGTACCATGAAATATCACGTGATATCACATTAAAGGTACCATTAAATATCACGTGATATCACATGAAACCAACCATTAAATATCACGTGATATCACATAAAAGTTACCATTAAATATCACATTAAAGTGACCATTAAATATCACATAATATCTCATTAGAGCTATCATTAAATATCACGTGATGTCACATTAAATATCACATGATATCACAATAAAGTTATCATTAAATATCACATTAATGTTACCATTAAATATCACATGATTTCACATTAAAGCTACCATTAAATATCAAGTGATATCACATTCAGGCTACCATCAAATATCACGTGATATGA